AACCGCTGTAGATCTCTGGGGATCTCTTTGCACAGCTCTCTCCTCTCTGGTATTGTCTCTTAAACTTTAGCTGCTTTGGTCTCCCGAAACTCTTAGCTCTAATTCCTCAATTCAGGGAGTCCATCAGGCTCTTCCTCAGTTCCCTGCCTTTCTGGGCCACTGCCTGGAAATGCACGACAGTAAGCTGAGATGATCATAGGGCTCACCTTACTTGTTTCCCAACTCTCAGTGATCACTGCCCTTTGTTGTCTAATGTGTAGTATCTTGAAGACTATTGTTTCATGTATTTTGTCTGATTTTTGTTGTTTTTGTTTTAGGTGGGAGGGTAAATCTGGGGTCCCTATTGTTCCATCATTGTCAGCAGTGGAATTCCTATTCCACAGATTTTGATACACTATATTTTTATTTTAAGTCAGTTTAAAATATTTTCTAATGTCCCTTGAGACTTGCTCTTTGATCCATGGATTATTTAGAATTGTGTTCTTTAATTATCAAGTGTTTGGAGATTCTCCTGTGTTTGTTATTGACTTCTAGTTTATTCTGTTATGGTCAGAGAACATAACTTTGTTTTATATCAGTCCTTTAAATTTATTAAGGCTTGTTTTATGAATCAGGATATAGTCACTAATTCAATTTCCTGTTTCAGCATACCCCTTCTCATGTCACATCTGGCACTTCAAATGTCCCATTTCCTGCTTTGCACCTCATGCTTCCCATATCACAAATGTAATAACCTTATAATATATAAATCCATTTATTCTCTCCCAAACCTAGCTTTTGGTGATTATTGATCTTTTACTTCTATATTTGTTATAAACCCTACCTTACAATGTCTCTATTATTTTTATTTGAAACAATCAGTTCTTAGAGTAAATCATGAGAAAACATAGTCTTTTATATTTACTCACTTATTTACCGTGATGGTCTTCATTCTTTCCTGTAGTTCCAGATTTCCATCTGGTCTTAGCTCATTTTGGTTTAAAGGGCAACTTTTAACATTTCTTATAGTGCAGTTCTACCACTGATGAATTTTCTTCGATTTCATTTATCAGGAAGTGTCTTTATTTCACCCTCATTTTGAAGGGTATTTTTGTGGAACATAGAATTCTGGGATGACAGGGTTTTTTCTCCAGCATTTATAAGAAACTGTTTGTCTTCTAGCCTGCCTTAAATGAGAAGCTGCAGTTATTCTTTTATTTGTTTTGTAGTTTGTTCAAGTTCATGGATTTTACATCATTATTTTTCACTACATTTGGGAAATTTAGACATTATTTTAAAAATATTTCTTTATGCCCCAATCTCACTTTTCCTTATGAGAGTCCAGTTATACATATGGTAGACTATTTGATATTGCTTCATAGGTCCTTGAGGGTCAGTTCATTGAGATAATTTCCACTGATCTATCATCAGGTTCACTGACTTTATTTGGCTGTATCCAATGTGTTGTTAAGCCTTTCTGTTCACTCATTGTGATCATGTTTTCCTTTAATTCTTTAGACATATTTATAATAGTTCCTTTAAAATCTTGGTTGGCTAAGTCTAACATTTTGACCGTCTTGGGTTCATTTCTATATACTGCTTTTTTCCCTTGACTATGGATCACTTTTTTTTGTTCCTTTGTATGTCTAAATGACTTTTTATTGAATACTGTACATTGTGAACAATACTCTGGATTCTGGTATCTTTCCATGCGGTATATGGATTCTTGTTTTAGCAGGCAATGTAATACTGGCTGATGACCTTATACTTGTTTAGGCTTGGTTTTATGTTTTGTTTTTAGAGATCAGCAAAAGTGTTTCCCAAGCCCCTTTAACCTGGTAAGACAACCTCCAAATGCTTTTCCTGTGGATCTTGTTATGGCTTGATTTTAGGCTTTATTAGGGCAATCTAGAGTAGGTCTTAGTCTGGACTATGATCCTTACATCCCAAGTTGTAACCTTTCTGTTGTTTCAACTAGATGCCAAGGATGTTAAAGATGTGTTTACAAGATCTCTCCACTTTGGCAGCGCCAGAACTCCCCTGGCAATGCTCTTATCCCAGCGCTACTCTAACTCTAGTATCTCTGTTCTAATCTTAACCCCATATAGTACCTGCTTTCTGGTAAGCCTCAGGTGGTCTCACTGTGTATACAGCCCAGCTGTATTAGAGCTCTCTAGAGAAACAGAACCAACAGAATATATTTATTATTATCATTATTAGGAATGGCTCACACAATGATGGAGGCTGAGAAGTCCCAAGATCATAGTCAGCAAGCTGGAAACCCAAGAGAGCTGATGGTGTAGTTCCAGTCCAAGGCCAAAGGCCTGAGAAGCAGAGAGCCAATAGTGAGTTCCAGTCCAAGTACAAGTCTGAAGGTGGGAGAAGAATGATGTCCCAGCTCAAAGACAGTCAGGAAGAGACAGAGACTTAGTCAGTCTTTTTATTCTAGTCAGGTCTTCAACAGATTGGTTGAGGCTACCCACAGTGGAAAGGGCAATCTTCTTTATCCAGTCTACCAATTCAAACGTTAATCTCATCTGGAAACACTCACATAGACACACCCAAATATAATGTTTAACCAAATATGTGGGCACCCCAGGGCCCAGTCAAGTTGAGACATAAAATTAACCATCACACAAGCCTTCAGCCATGGATTGTCAGGGACTCACACATAGACTTCTGGAACTCCATCTGTGTAGTGCCTTCCTTTGCCTTGCATGCCCCATGGTTGCCAGCCATTTCAGCTGTCTTGAAGCCTGACCTCTGTCTCCTCAGCCCAGTAGGATCTCCTTACTCTGCTCAGACTGTAGCTTTGTGCATTACAGTTGGGAAACTGTGCCCAAGTAGAGGAGCTAGGTGATTTGGGGGCTCACCTCATGAGTTTCCTTTCTCTAGGGATCAGTCTTGTGCTTCCTTTTGTCCTGTGCCTGAAAGTAGTTGTCACATAAATTTTGTCCATTTTTATAGTCATTTATGATGGGAGGAGTAATATGGTACTGCTTAATCATGGCTGGAAAGGTTGTTAATTTCAACTGCTTTTACAGTATAGTATACAACTGGGTCGTCTTTTTACAATTGGGTCATCTTTTTGTTATTGATTCTTAGGAGTTCCTTATAAATCCTAGTTACTAATCCTTTTTTGGTTACGTGAGTTAGAGTTGTTTTTTCCCAGTCTTGGCTTGTCTTTTTAGCTGCCCATGTTGTCTTTTCCCATACGGAAGTAATAAATTTTAATGTAATCATATTTATTTATATTTTACTAAATGATTTGTACTTTTTGTGTGTCCATTTCTTCAACCTCTGAACACTGGGGTGCCCCAGGGCTCAGGCCTTGGACTTCTCTATCTACGTTAATACCCAAGTAATCTTACCTAATCTCGTGGCATCTGAACACTGATGGCTTTTACTCTGAGCTCCTCCTCTGAACTCCAGTCATATACAATAATTTAAAGGACCACTGCTTAGCTAGATACTATCTTTCTTCTTCGCTTATTACCCAAGTTTCTTGAATGGGAAGTATGCAGTCACTGCCTCCATTTTCTCATTGTCCATTCACTGTTCAACCCACTGCAGCTTGGGTTTTGTCCTATTCCACTGATAACTGACTGTTTGAGATTTTTTCTTAAGCAACACAGCCCACCCCCTTTTCTTTTCAAATGAAGTCTTATGTGAAACCACAATATTTTAAACAGATAGAAGCAGAATTGCCTTGACAATAGGTTGGCAAGGAGAAGAAATGCTCACTTTTCTTATCTCTCCAAGATGCTCCAGAGGCATCTTTACTGAGCCCTGCCTGTCTTTCCAATGTCCCTGTTCCCCCAGACATCCTCATCTCCAGCCATATTGAACTCTTTGGAGACTCTTGTGTCCTTTCCATCTCTGTGCTTCTGCACAACGCTCCTTCATCTGCCTTGAACCTGCTTTAGCCAGTTCTCTCGGCTCAAGTAGCACCTCCCAGCCCTCCTTCTCCTTTATCATTCCTTCTCTTTTTGTGCCTCTATTATCACACTTACCATACTGCATTGTAACTTTCTCTTTACACATCTTTCTTCCCTGCTAAACTGAAGACTTCTATAGATCAGAGACCCTGTCTTTTTCCCTTTAATCTCTTTAATGTATATCAACAATGGAATGAATAAATCAATGAATAAATGGCAGAGGAAGCTGAGCTAGGCCAAAGTTGGAAGTGGCAGACCACCAAGTTTTTAAAAGCAGTTTTATTAAGATATAGTTAACATACCATACAATTCAGAGGGTTGTGCAACAGTCACTATAATCTAATTTTAAAACATGTTTGTCTCCCAGAAAATAAAACTCTACCCTTTAGCAGTCACTCTCCATTCCCCTAGCCCCAAGACACTCCCCACCCCTAGACAACCACTAATCTCCTTTCTCAGACACCAAATTTAACAGAGGTAAATTGATCACAAATCCTCAAAATCTGCCCGATTCTGGACCATGATGTGAAATTTGGTAGATAATTGTCCCACTTTACCAACTTGTACTGCAGAAACTTAAACATACTGCAGCTTCAGGTTTGATTCACTATTTATTAGACTGTTTGGGAATTTATTAGAACTGGATCCACATTTAACAAAGATGGTTGGTTTGGGTTGGTCTTGCTTTCACTGTTGCTCTTGAAGTAAACCCCCCTTAGCAGTTGATAGTTTGGCAGAAAACACGGTAACTGGAACAACTCACCACCTCCGGGAGCAATTGTGAAAATTGCCTCATAATCTCTTCTGAGGAGTTTAGCCCCTAGAAAATACCGTGGATTACGCATTACATGAGTTTTTATTTTGGGAGCTTTTATTTTTAACGCGATTCTTCCACAGGCTCACCTCTGCATAGGTTCTGTGCGGGGGAACGCGGTGTTTCAAGAGGCCGCATTTTCCAAATCTGGTCTGGTCTAGCGCGTGGCCAGGCTGTAGCGTTTCCCGTCGCGGTCGCGCGTCCGAGTCGCGTGCGCAGTGACGCAGCCGGCGCGCGGTGACGCGGCGCGCGGCGCGGTGCACGCTGGGATATTTAAGTCTTCTCCGCGGCGCGGAGCCGCGATGTCTCCGGCGGCTGCGGCGGCTGGAGGTGGCGACCGGCGGCGGCCGATAGCGAGCGTCAGGGACGCCCGGGGCCGGGGCTGGGGCTTCGGCGGGCCGGCTGGAGCGGCGCTCTTCGGCCTGTCGCTGCTTGGCCTCGTGCTGTACCTGGTGCCGGCGGCGGCCGCGCTGGCCTGGCTGGCTGTGGGGGCTACCGCGGCCTGGTGGGGACTGAGCCGCGAGCCCCGGGGTTCGCGCGGCTTCTCCTCGCTCGTTCGGAACGCGCGGCGCCAGCGAACACTGCTCGCCTCGCCTCCGGCCAAGTCGGCAGTAAACGGAAACCTCCTAGAACCGCGGACCCTGCTCGAAGGACCCGACCCCGCTGAACTGCTCCTTATGGGTAGTTACCTGGGCAAGCCCGGCCCCCCGCAGCCTGCCCCCGCGCTGGAGGCCAGGGGCCTGCGAGAGAGGCCTGGCCGCCGCCCACCCATCCGCTCCCCGCCGCCCGCTCACCCGGCCCATCGCGTTCGCCACATTCACCCCACTCTCCCCACTCCTCTTCTCCGCTCCCCGAGGACGCCTTCCCGCCGGTAAGATAGGTTGATCTTCCCCAGACCCTCCTTTCTGTCGACTGGCTTTGAATTGAGGACTTGACCTTTAAGTCCGATTTTGTTTTTCATTAAGTCCAAAGTGGGTTCTGTTTCGTTTTGTCCTCCTTAAACACCTTGGTGCATGTTAACCGTCTCCTGCTCCCCTTTAACATTTGGAATGAGATGTGATGTCAAAGCCCAATAAAAGAAATCTTATCAACCGAGCTCAAAGAGGTATTCCCAGGAAACACCTCTGTGATTGATAAAACTTGTTGATAAAGATGTTCAAATTAAAGAAACATTTTCATTTAGTCCCAATAGCTGAGTGATACAAGAGAACACAAAAATTTTGTGAAAATATTAGATTCTTGATAAGTACATTTAGTTGAGAAGAACATTCAGGTGTTAAAAATGTTTGATTTTGGGTGTGTATTACTGATGACTTAGCATAAAAGATTGAAAGATTCTTGAAAAGTTCCTCCCTGCGTGTCCTAACGCACACTTTTCTTCCATTGTAGTTTTACTTATGTTGGCAAGGTTTTCAATTTCCCTCTCAAATTGTTGAAGTCGGTTGTAGGGACACCTGTAAAGCAGCTGCCACTTTCTGCCCTTAGATGGAAAGGGGGAAAGTTGCCATAAAAATACTGTGTTCTGTGTTGCTTAGAAAGAGGTTTAAACTCGGTGGAAAATGTCTGAACTCATGTGGTTCTTTCTTCAGTCATTTAAATTTTCTGACATTCTTTTAAGCTTCTTTGGTTCCATAATGTGTGTCTCATTTTCCACAGGGATTGTGGGACTTTATCAAATCGGTTTGTAATAACACCTCGAAGACGATATCCAATCCAGCAGGCCCAGTATTCCTTTCTGGGGGTACTTCCCACAGTGTGCTGGAATGGTTATCACAAGAAGGCTGTGCTGTCTCCTCGGAATTCCAAAATGGTGTGCAGCCCAGTGACAGTAAGGATTGCTCCTCCTGATGGCAAATTGACTCGTTCTTCAATGTGAGTATAATTGTCAAAAGAATTGACTTCTGTTTGTGTCCACTTCATTCCTCTATGGTGGTTCCTTTGACAAAACAACTATAAAGCAAATAAAAAGGAAGTAGCTGCTTATTTGAATGAGAAATCCCAAATTCTAGTTGAACTGTCTTTTGTTTTTTTGCTTTTTGCCTTAAACTGTAGCTTTAATTGCTAAGGGCAATTTCTCTGAGTGTATAAATCATACTTTTGCTTGTTGATTAGCTTCTGATTTCCACTGACTGAAGTCTGTGCTATGTGGCATGATAATAAAAGTATCTTAACGCAAGCATCTTGTCTTTCGTGGCAGACCAGAGCAGATAATCAACTCAACACTGTCCTCACCATCAAGTAATGCCCCAGACCCATGTGCAAAGGAGACTGTACTGAGTGCCCTCAAAGAGAGGAAGAAGAGGACAGTGGAGGAGGAAGAACAAATATTCACTGACAGCCAGGAAAATAAAAGAAGGTAATAGGCTCAGCAGAGTAGTAAACAGCCCTCCAACGTGGACTTCTGGGATTTATTGAAATATAGATCACTCCCCAAAGAGGTACAGAGGCCAGCTACGCTTTATGAGCCTTAGTAGGGCCCCTTCTTTGGTTTTCATGGAGGAGCTTGGTAACAGAGCTTTTTTTTTTTTTTTTTTT